TCGACAATATGCGTTTTTGCTGGCTGTAGCAGCGCTATAGCGCTTCACAGCAAAAACGCATAAAAATAATAAAATAATAAGAATTAATAACCACAAAAATGATGAATATTAGTAACAAAAATAACAACAATAAATTGTTTGTATCAATAAAGATAGTAATAAAAATAATAAAATAATTATGATCGTACGTTTGTGTATGATCTCAGTAGGTTCTGTGTAGAGCATGTCAGGGTCCAACATTTTTTCGTTTTTCAACCTTCTAATCGTTCAAAAGCAAAGCAGAACAAAGCCTCACATTTGTGTACTTAACAGCTGGGTGTCCTTCTGCAAGGGTACTACAAAACTGCATCGCCACGCGAATTCTGTTTTGCGTGCCGCTATTTGTTTTGCTTCGACAAGTAAGGCGCTGTGCAAACAGCGCAGCTTTACGGTATCCGCAGTAGAAACACCGAGGGATTTTTGCTTAACCACATTTTCCCACAGAACAGACAATATTGTATGATAAGCATTTACAACATTACTATAGACTGGATTTAAGTGCACATTTGCGCTCATGTGTTTCTTATTTTACGCAATCATTAATACAATTATAAGAAAAACCGATTTCTTCGAGTTGTAGTTTGCTGCTATCGAGAATCTATCCACGTATTAACCTGTTTGCAGTTCATTGAGCCGTTTCTGGAAGTGTATGGACTGAAACGAGTGAGTAAAATCGGTTATTTACAGTCACACCTGGCGGCGCTTTATTATGAAATTATGAATAAATTCGTGCCAAGTCTATGTTCAGGTCAACTAACCTTAACAGCCAACAAATTTTTAAACTGTAAGCATTAAGTCTTTTTTGGCAAAATTCTTTTTAAATTTCTTTTTTGTATTTCATTTTTTACCTGAGAAAATCAGCAGTGAAAAATGAAAACAAGCAATAGCTCAAGCCAAAGGGTCCGTATGAGTATGTGTTCCACATCAACTAATGTGGTATCAGTTTAGGACATCCTGACCTGGAAAATTGGGATTCATGTCTAAAATTTTTTGAAATGTAAGAAGTTAACGAGGATTTTCAATAAGCTGTTTTATGCTGAAACAGCTTTCAGAAAATCAAATTAAATTAAAAGTTGATAAGATGAACGGAATCCTTGCGCATACATTTCAAAAAACTGACTTGATCAAGTGGTTTAAGGCCCTTATTGGTGGCAATTGTATTGTTTATCATTTTGAGAATTATTTAGGTTGGACAGTTGGCTTCTCAAATCGTAAGCTTCGTCTTTTACTGGATTTTGTACCTCAATATGAGCAAGAGGAAGCTCTGGAACGAGTTTTATGCTGGCACCAAGAAAATCGAGGAGTTAAACGTGCTACTATTCCACCAAACTCTCGTCGTCCGAAGATGGGCTGATACTGCAGAAGAAGGGCGAAAATGTTATGCGTTTTGTGTTATAGTGATGAGTAAAAAGCAAACGTGTAATTTGTTATGTGTTACGGTCGATGGAGAATGAGCTGTTGCAGTGGCCGGCGACGCAGTTTTCGCGTTCTTATTTTGATTTGCGTGGTTTCTTTGCGAATTCTGTTCTGTGTTATCCAATCGCCTAACGAAGTGATAGTCAGCCAATTTGTCTGCACCTTGTGGAACACACTGGAAGCACTGTGCATAAAATAACCTTGGTTCGTCTTTCGCGATGCATTTAGAGGCTTTTCTGCAGCGGGACCATTAATTTCGTGAAGTGAAGAAGATCGGTCGGACTGAATATCACAGCAGTGCTGAGTTAAAATGCTGCATTGAACGGCAGTTTGTAGAAGTGATTTAACTAATTTTGCTGCTTTGGCTTAAACTGACTTACAGGAAGCACTGCTTAAACAAGGGCAAAGATCTGAGAGCGAAAAAGAGAGACCTGCAGTGTTTGAGTATGAAGCATTCATTCCCTTAAACACTTAGCATATTGCATTTACCACAAATTTCGACTCGGTTGTATCGTCGGAACATCTGTGTGCGCATGTCTGCGTATGTGTTTGTGTAGCGTTCGCCTACGAGCTTTGAAGCACGCTTGGATTTGTTTTCCAATAGGTCCTGGTATGTCGACATGGCACCACACTGACTCTTTGCGGCTAAGTGTGAAGTATGCGAAACACTGCCTCTCTGACGAGTGGTTGCTGCTGAATCGAACGAATAAGTCGATTGAGAAAGCGAGATACAAAAATCTTCTAGAAGGCCCATTGTGAAGAGCGGACGAGGTCCGGAAAGAGCGAAAGACACTCTGATTGAAACAGAACACAAAAAGGCAAAATCGTCAGCGTCTCGTTCTCAAATTCAATAGTTTCCCAGAACGTGTAACGGTATTTCAAAAAAAACTCAGGAAAATAAATTAGGCATCTTATGACTGAAATGGCATCTCATAACATAATTGCGCTTCTGGCGCCTTGGTGAATTTAGCTCTATTTGCAGCGCTAAACTGGCTACTTACCAGTTTCAATTTGTTGCTACAAGGAAATAGACGCCCAACAAAAATCCTACTTATTTCATTTGAAATTTTAATTCACTGGATGATTTCGGCGCCTCTTGACTGCAAAAACAACAAGCTCGGAATTCACAGCACTTGCCGGCGATGATTCCGAAAGCTGGTTGCTTCAGTGATGACAGGAATGTGTAATGTAAGTCAGTAATGATGCTGACCTTTACGTAATGCAGTTGCGTCTTAGTCCAGA